GTTTGCACTGCAAACTTCTTAAAACTGCCATGGCTCTGAGGTGGTTTTGGATTAAAGACTCCCAAAACTGTCATGGCTCTGAGGTGGTTTGCACTGAAAACTCCCAAAGCTGGATCCAAAGAGCTTCGATATACCCCTCCCCAGATCAGTCACTCCAACTGCCGAATCAGCTCCATCGGACTGTCCTCCGTCTCTCCTGACCGGTGGGAGACCTTGGTGGCGGTGGGAGACCTGTCCTCCTCTGAAAGCGCTGGAAGGAAAGGTGATATAGTAGCGTCCTTGCTCCTAGTAGCGATGCCCTTTGCTCCTAGTAGCTTCTTGTTCCTAGTAGCAATGCCAGGAGCCCCTAGTAGCGTCCTTGCTCCTAGCAGCGCTGCCAGGAGCTCCTAGTAGCTTCTTGTTACTAGTAGTATGGCCAGGAGCCCGTAGTAGTAGCGTACTTGCTACTAGATAAATGGTGAATAAGCTGACACAGGAACCGTAAAGACCCTAATTTCTAGGCTCACCTCTTCAGAGGTTCAGACAATCCATGTCTTGGTGGTTATTCATCAAGAGTCTGTTAATAGAATTTCCAATATAGTAAGTTGGCAAAAGATTGTGAATATGGGCTAATTCAGATTTCCGGAAATACTCACCAAAGTTACTACCCGTGAACGAAAGAAACACCACAGACAAATCAGAAAACATGGTTTCTTCCAAGCCAAAGGCGCCATGACACCCCATCCTGCAGCCATGGAGATGTTTGCTGCCTCAATCGCCTCACACGGAGGGCTGCGGGGAGCGGAGCTCTGCCGAGACGAACATCTGGGTTTCTGAAACCTCAACTCACATAAGTCAGTGGTTGGTTCAATTCAACAATTCAGCTGTTTTCGAAGTCTATATTGAACAATCTTAGTCAGTGGGTTCAATCATCTCAAGCGAACCACCACCCACTTATTCAACAATTTCAGGCTTTGGGTTAGGACATGCCAGTGGTTCCGGATGATCTTCAACTTCCTGAAGCCACTTCAGGATCTTTTAGGGCGCCTCTGAAAACATCCTCAACCTATCCTTGAGAATAGGTCCTATCCTGCATGTGTCTACCATTTCTCATTCTTCAAAAACGGGGGCCTCCTTACCAAGAAGTTCAGTCTGTAGACTGTACGTACGACTCATCAAAGGAACCACAGACGACGGTGCTGACAATCTCTCGACTGATTAAAGGACCTGGAGCCACCAACGGCTCCGACCTAATAGCGATGCGTCCAACCTATATTACAATAGCGATGAGCATTGGCCTCCAACATACACATTATCATATTATGATGGCTGCTGCTTGTTGCAGCTCACAGTTCCACCAAATGTCACAACATCTTGATCATGTATACAACTCTAAACCACTATTTAATCTTTTTGCCAAAGTTTACCTATACAAAATTTAAAATCAGGATGACATCCACACAGTTTAACCGTTCAACTGAACGCAACAGCTTCGTTTCCAAAAAGGGCTGAACGCAACAGCTTCGTGGCCCCACCTCGGTGACGGAGCCGATCTGGTTCACCTGGCCAGCGACGAGCCGGTTCAGAACACAAGTTGGTCCATGAATTGGTTCAGACCTCTGGTGAGACTTGGCGAACCTATTGCGGCTACATCACTTTACATCATTGTTCAGGTCCATTTACACTTCCAAAAAATCCCTGCAATAGAAACAGCTGATGGATCCGTTGATCCGTGGGAGTGGTGGTCCCTGATCAAGAGTCCGACTGAGAATGTCCTTCTGATTGAATCTGCCGTGGAACTCATCAAACATCAAAGCTGATTCTGGACTCTTTCCTTCTGTGTCAGAGCAGGAGGAAAGAGAAGCTTAAAAGAAGTTGCTTCATCAAGAAAGAAATCAACTTCCGGGACCTTCTGAACCTTCTGCACACTGTTCACCCTGGCCATGACATGTCTGTCATAGCAGCTCTGGAAACCCCGGTGCAGAAAAACCTGCGCTGTCCCAGATTGCTGAATGCCAAGCCCATCTCTTTTCCATTTCGGTTCATTTGCTGTGCAGGGCGTGAACCAATTTGCGCAGTTTTTACGCCCTGCGGGGCTCACGCCCCAACTCAACGAAGCCTTCAGCTTCACTGGCTGGGTGGAGTGGCGAAGGAGCCCAACTCTTCAGCTTGGCTATAAAGGATCATGAGGACTAATAAAGGAAAGAAAACAACATGAAAGAGCACCTAATAGTGATGGCCTCCAACCTAAGGGCGATGGCCTCCAACCTACCAGTCAGATCGCAAATCTAGGATCTTGAAAAGGGGCTGTTTTCTGATCTCGGCTGTGCGGTCTATGCATTTCTTCTGGACAACATCTCCTTCTAGTTGAGAGGTCCCTTGAGGACTTTGGTGCCATAGCCATGATGGAAAAGCAGTGCCCCAAATATGGCCCAGAATAGGTCAGTCTCATTTCCAGCTGATGGATGCTATGTTCTTTTAAACAATGATTTACCTCTCATCGTCGCGGACCCCACCCAGCACTCATCACCAGCACTCATCAAGCTCCTCCTCCAGGGGAACCACCGATCGCTCAGCCGCTTGGAGACCGTCCTGCACAGCACAGCTGTGTTCACAGCTCCAACACCCAGACCCACTCGATGTGTGTTCTATTTACCGACATTGGGGTGCTTTCAGGGAAAGAACTATATATATATATTTATTGATCGATAATATACAATATGTAATATGAAATAAATATATAGAGTATATACTAAATACATTGTAATGTCATATTGTATATAGTGTATGTATATCATATATAGTATATATTATTAAATATTTTTTTTGCATCCCATACATGCAGCCTCCAGTCGTGACTGAATGGCACCCCTCGGCTCCCCTTCGATCGTAGCAGTCTTGGATTGAAGTGAACCCAGAAAGTCTCAACATGTCTCAACCAAAGAACCTGGAGGAAACCTGGAGGAACCCACACCGAAAAAGTTATTTTCAGCTACTTGTAGTGGTCGAAGTGAACAAATTCAGCTGAGCTCCAGTGTGTCTTTGTACTCAAACCTGCACATCTGATCCTGATCAAGACCACATCTGTGCGTGGAAACCTGAAGCTTCCAGGCTACGAGCAAAGCTTCGTCACATGGGTAGACAAGCAACACTGAGACAACAGTTGCTGGCGTCAAAGCATATCGCTCAGTGGGCATCGAAAATAAGAAATCATTCAATCTCCTACATCCCTTTGGGGTCAACATTCTTTCTCCAGAAAGGCCATCTCGGACCCTTGTAAGACCAGTTTCCTCTACAAACTGTGCGTGGTTTTGGGTCTCGATGTTAATCCCTCTGCAGGGGAGTATGTCCTACCATGTCCTGCCCAACACAATCTATATAACGTATGGAACCAACCAAAACCAATCCGTTCCCCGTGCTTGGTGGCCTCATGGCGGCTGAGGCCAGTAAGGATGGTCTGGTGTGTTTCTCTTTCCGACAAATCCACACCCCAAACAAAAAGGGCCCTGATTTCCGGGCCCTGTCATTTGCCGACCTCGAAAGTCCGAACGGATCTTCAACTCGTCCGGACCGAAACCCAACTTTTGGGACCAAAGAACACACAAACAAACACACACACAAATAGGATGGTGGTATGGTACTGTGATTTCGTCCAACACCAAGAAGATTCAGAAATCCGGTGGTATGGTCAGTGTTGCTCAATCATCTAGTGTGTTGACCTGTCCCATTTCAGATCGAATATCACTTGAGTCATGCTCAAAAATTGTATACAGTATATAATCGATTTGCCTCACAGAGTGACCAGCACTTGCACATATGGTCTCTTCCTCCAGCTTGCGTCCAAACGTATCCCGTAACCAAGACAACTGGATTTGTTCCAATATCCATATCAATATGTTTTAGGGGGAAAACAGAAACATAACACACTCTGTGGCAAACGAATCTCTACACATTGACCTGCACCGTTTATATGTTTGTTGCTTTTAATCTACCAAGAAGAGTAGGCAAATCCAGTAGAGCTTTGTATAGTATGCATATCATTTAATTCTGGTGTCAATCAAATATGAAAGCATTATATAAATCATTTTCAGTCATATTCAATAATATCATGAGGCGATTGAGGCGGCGTGCTTGTTGGACTCCGAAGCATCGGATTCCAGGAGCACATCAAGATTGATGCATCATGCTGCATGATCATCACCATCCAGATTGAAAAGTTGAAAACAGAAACACAAACACACTCTAAAAATGCATTCAGAACGTTTATATAAGCTGTGTTTGTCTATTCTTTACTTTGACCGTTACGAAGCAACCCCAGTTCTGCGGCACGCCTTGTCTCCGTCCCGGAGACAGCTCCCCCTTCTTGAAGACACATCCTACCTTGCATGTCCTTAGATCTAAGGATATCCCTTCTGAAACCACCTCGGGGGTCATTGGGTACCCCCCCCATCCTCTCCTGACTCTCCTCTCTTCTTCGTTTCGCCCTTCCGTCTCCTTGGGACCGTCGCTCCGACTCGAGCCGCTCAGCATGGATGGCCCGCAGTCTCTGGAGCTTCTCCAGGTTGTCGAGGCCTTCACAGTGGCGGAACCGGACGAACCCACTGGACGAGGAGGACTCGGACGCAAGGGACGACTGGGTCTCCGGAGTGGTCTGTCCGATCGGAGACCGGGTCGACCGGGTCGACCGGGTCGGGGTCAGTGCGGTGTGGCTGCAGGTGGAAGCCACCACGGCGTGAAACGGAAGTTTTGAAAGATCTTCCAGTGGAAGGATGGAAGCCCATTGGGCCGAACATGGTATTTTGCAGGTGATCCACGTTTCCTGGGTAGGAATGTGGAGTAAAACGAAAGGACGGCCCAGTCCGTACAAAAGAACCCGTGGTGTACATGTCTCAAGAATCAGTGATCATCAGTGATGTTCAAGATTTGCTCATCGATTCACGTCTTCGTCTTGGCCAAAGGATCAAAGAATCCAATCTGCATGGCCAATGTCAAGCCGAAGCCCCCTTCAGAGCACCCATTTCAAGGGTTTGGCTAATTCATACTTCAACCACCTTCAACATCCTTCAACCACCACAACCCAGATAGGCTTCCAAGGCAGGAGTACTAGTAGTAGCTCCCAAAGAACTGTAAAAAGGTCCGGACCGTACCCGGACTGATGCTGAAATCTGCTGAACAGCTTATCCCACATTGAAGTATGACGACTGAATTCCTGCACAGCCTATTTGACCTGGTTGGCCCACGATTCGCTCCGCTAAGAACCCGGGTCAACGCTCCAAAAGGGCTCCATCCAGGTGCTTCTTGACCAGGAGGGAAGGTGCTTTGGATCTGATACAGTGAATATGGAAGGTTATTCAGATGGTGATGGATGGTTGCCTGAACTCAAGAACACCTATGAGCTCAGTGGATATCGGATGTCCATCTTCCCATGGGCTGCTTCAAAATCTGTTTTTTTCACATCAAGACGAAACCAAAAACATCCCCAAACGCCCAACGCTTCTCTTGGTGTCCACCCCACCCACCCGCATCACCCGTGGTAACCACACCCGACGATCGATGCATCGATCCCACGATGGCCCAAACGGCATTCGTACATCGTTTCGAGGCTGGTCTCGGTCGGCTCGGGGGCCGCAGCCACCAAGGTGGAGACCTAGCCGGACGGGTCGAAGACCAGAAGGAGGGCCCAACATGATGATTTATGCATATAAACTGGGCCATCTATACTATACTAATTAAATTAGCTATATATATATAACGATGTATATATATATATATCTGTGTGTGTATTCAGTATTATTTGTGCCTGGGGCCTGGATTAATTGTTTGTCTCAAAACGCATTGAAAAGACATTCTTGCCAACATTTGTGCGCACTCAAATCAATCATTGTTTTCAGGATCTGCCATGTTCTGCCACCGGAGTCTTTTCCTCCAGGTGTGTCTTTTCATGCATAGTTCATGCGTGTTCTTTGGTGGTTGAGACACCTCCCTTCAGAGTTTTGCAATGGACAAGCTACGTGATTTTCGCCGCCCGGGTCTCCAAGTACCTCCTCCGAAAGGTATTTGGAGACCCCAAACCCAGCCCGGTCCCAGCTTCTCAGGAGGTGCTCGGGGGACCTGGAAACCCAAACAACCTGAAATTATATTAAATGGTTGTTCCCATATGTAGCAATTGAAAGCCATTGAAATCCTTTACATATAAGGCTGTTTGGGGAAACATCCACTTGTTTCTGATTGTTTGGTTTCCCAGGGAAGAGACATGAAACGCTTTTGAAGATCTTTGAAGCATGACCTAAAACATCTGGGAGGCCATCTGCGACACCTGGGAGGCTGCAAATCAAACGAAAGAACTCACCCTCTACAGCTCATAGCTTAGAGCACTACCCCATCTTCAGGACTTCGACCAATTGGAACGGCATAGTGAGCTAATCCCAAAAACCGGGAATTGGATGATGTGCCTACATTGACCCCATACTACAACCGTTTTCAACCATCTCAATGTGGTCTAATGTGGTGTCTGAGAATGAATGTAGCGGACTGAGTTTTCACACACATCGCCATCACTTCAGCGGACTGAAATGGACCGAGGTAAAGTCAACATCCATCACTTCAGCAGGAAACACCATCACATCACCACTTGTATTGTTGCAGAAAAATAGATCAGGAGTTCTACATAGAGACCCCACGCAACTGCCAAACAACAAGACTCCAGGACACCCCTCCAGGACAACACGACTCTGCGACGATTCCCTCCCGGCGACCGAGGGCAATTGCCGCCGCCCCTCAGGGCTCACGGCCGCGGGCACCGCGGGCGGCGCGGGCGCCGCGGGCACGGCGGGCGCCGCGGGCACCGCGGGGGGGCGGCGCTTCGGAGAGTGCGACGGGCTTGGTGCCACCTCGAAGAAGTCAAAGGCATGAGATACAGCCGTGGGGCTCGTGGTTGGACTTGTTCTTCCTGAGGCGGACTGTAGAAGGGCGGACTGCAGAAATGTGAAGTTCTCTATATGACGAACTGTGGACACAAATGGAAAATCGTTCACAAACAGACATCAAGAACAAACTCCTTCTGATCGAAAACAATGAACTGTAGACTCTGTAGACTTGGATGTTTGAATATGAACCCCAAAACCTCTTGCCAAATGATCTGCGTCTCCATTGCTCCGGGCACTGCCCAAGCTCTTCACACTTCCACTCCTTGGCGGTGTCACCGCACCCTTCCTCCTGGCCACGGCAGAAGCGCTCGTGGCTGCGGCCGCAGCATGGCCGCTGCCTCGCGGGGTGCTGCTCCGGCCTTTCGTGCGGCTGAGGCTGGGGCTTTGGACTGGGAGCGGTGTTGGCACGGACTGTGGCACGCCGGACATCTTCGCATAGGTCTTGGCCGTCAAACCATGAGCATCCTGGAGAGGGAGGGAGGCGCACTGAGGAGAGTCAGAAATGAGTCTTGAAACTTGCGGACAGCATCACAGCAACAATATAAATGTTATATTATGTATATATAATGTTTTGTTTGGGTGGAGTGAGTGGAGGTTCCTTGAGTCTACACTGTCTCCTCTTTCCTTTCAAAAGATCGTTTTGTTCGGACCCTTCAGAATACGTAACTTTCCGCAGGAAATGTCACAAAACCCGGACCCATGCGGAATTGAATAGGATAAGACGGATAAGAAAACACAAACTGAAGAACAACTCAATGGATTCACTGAACTCCAGTCCTTCAGCTCACAGAGTGCCTGGCTCACCCTGGGCGACAGCCAGTTCAAGACCTTCAAGACGAGCGCGTTTGGGAGTCCAAAGCATGAGCTCTCTAGAATAAAATGACTAAACCAAAATTTCAAAAGCAAAACCAAAAGGCCATTTTAAAATGATATATATATAATGGTAAATAAGAGGGTCTCGGCCTTTCCCACATGATATTGATTCAAATTCAAATTGATTCCAAGTTGAAAGGATTATTCTTTCAACTCACTCTATTCGAGGGGCTTTATGAACATACTATCAGATTTGCGTAGGATCAAAAAGAAAGTATCTATCTCAGGCATGTCAAGGGCGGTGGACAAAACTCACTTAGTTGCACCCTGCAGCCGTTTTTTTGCTCTGAGTGTGCATTGTTGGATCTTGATCATGGTTCGTGCACCGGTGTTGACACTAATGGAGCTGCAAACATGGCTCATCTCCATGTTTCCTTTCTTGGCTTCTGAGGAAGGTTTCTCGATGTGGAATGTTGTCAGTTTGGATGCTTCATTTGTTTTTGGATGTTTTGTGTTGTGGTGCTCTGGTTTGGTGCTTGCCTTGCACCTTTTATACAGATCTAGGGCGTCGCAACCGAGCTGATACCCTGCAAAAGCAGGGCCTTGAGATGCACCAGTATTGCGAGATCTTTGGTGGTGTTGGATCTGTAGCAGGTTCCAACACGTTCGACATTAGGAGGGACAGTTGTCACAATGCTCACGAGGAGGCAGGACTGAAAGAGTTGGCTAGGATGATGGTAATGACAGTCTGGGGTGGACTGTGTGTCATTGAGCCAACGTGCAGCAGCTTTCTTAGATTCGTGTCGACGCACTCCAGTGGCAGAAATCCTGCACTTTGACGCATTTAAACTGTAGGTTTTCCTTTTGCTTACTCTTCAGTCAGGGTCGAGGGTATGAAGGAAGTCATTATGCGGACCTATCCAATTGCTTCTTGAGGACAATGTCTATGGCAATGAATCAGTGCCATTTGTGCGCACAGGAAACGCCACTGCTGAGCTAGTTGGCAAGGTTTTGGTACCTCTTGCTGAATGGTTGGGGATGTGGTGGCTAATTGAAAATCCAGAAACTTGCACTGAATGTAGCAATCCTTTTTAATTCGATTCAAGAGAGTTGTAGTGTGGACTGTCTACTTCTATTTCTACTACTACTTGCACCGCATATTGCATTATTTATGAGGTGATCCCATTTGCAAGGCAACTGCAAGGCAACACATTTGTGTTTTTGTGGGGCTTGCTTAGCTGAGTTGAATTCGCTGCTTTTCCTCTACCCTGCCATTGCAGCACAGCTTGGTCGTACATGGGTGATTGCTGGCATTCAAAATGCCCCAGTCCGTGTTGTTTGCTACCTTCGCACCTTTGGGGGCCTTTCTGCCAAACCCCTTGAGCTTCGCGGAAGGTGGCCAGGCTTGGCATTGCTGCAGGAGATTCATCGCCTCGCTTGGCCTGACACCAGGAACCGTAGCTCAGTGCAGTTGATGAGAAAGGGCTCCAGGCCCCTTGGTTGCTGATTCCAGCCGCTTGAATTTGTTGCAGGTCTGTGTAGAGACCAAGTAGAACACATGCGTATACTGTAGTCTTACATACATATATACAAATACATTGCGTAGCAAGTTTAGTTCATAGTGCATGCATACACCATACAAACATACTATCATACGTTACACCAATACATACAAACATACATAATACATACTTACATACATACATACACCCACATACAAACACCCACATACGCACATACTGTACATACATACATGCAGACATACATACATACATA